CCGGGTCACCGATCCGGTTTTTAAACCATTGGTAGTAGCCATTATATTACTATATGTCTACTATTATAGTACCATAATACTATTTATATATTAGAGTACTATTTTTTGTTTTTCTTTAAACATGTTAACTCTTTATTAGAGTACTATTAAAATTTAGTACTATTACCATCTATGGGCACGGTCTCTATTAGTCCCTTGGCTCATACATAGAAATGTGGCCCCCTTAATAATATATTTTTGAAATAGATTTTGACCATAATTTTTAAGGAATATATAATTCCTAATATGGAGATCGTTAACATGTAAAATAAATACATTTTAAAAAAGTAAAAATGATATGTTTTGAATGAAATATTTAAACCATTGATTTTCTTTTTTTCTTGGGGAAGGATCATCATTTATATCCATATTCGGATGGATGGTTTATGCCTTGGGGGACAAAAATGTAGGTATGCATCCCCCAACAACATGTAACACTTCTCCATCACTTCTCCATTATCTATTGTACAGTACTATATAGTACTACAGTACTAATTTACTATATAGTGCTACAGTACTATTGTAAATTAGTAATATATTATAGTGCTAAAACACTATTATATGGTTCTGGTACTATATAATATGCACTATATAATACTGTATTCAATCAGTATTACATACTATGCAGTATTATATAGTACTAACCATTATATCACTATACATTTACTATGGTAGCACTATAATACCATTTATATATTGTAGAACTTTAAAGATTCGTACTATAGTATATGTTGTATAGTATTATATAGTACTATAGTAATATTGCAAATTAGTAATATATTGTATTGTTAAAATACTATCATATCGCTACAATATAGAGCTATTACATAGTATTAAATATTTTTTATATAGACAGAGAACAAGGGCAGATGATGGGTCTCTACTCTCTTCATTTCTCTACTATATATAGAGTACTAGATATATTCTATAGAATCTATACTACTATTATATTGTATTGAATAGTATATAGACAGCTAGAGGGGTAGATGATGGGTTCTAATTTTCTCTCACTAACTTTCCACTTCCTTTATATTATATAGTGCATATATGTACTAACACCCCATATAGGGTATACATCAAACCCGCCCCACCCCCACCCCCACCCCCACCGCATCCCCATCCCCACCCCACCCCACCCCACCCCACCCCACCCCACCCTTTTTCTTGGGTGCCTTAGCCATGAGGAGCCTGCCTAGGCGGTCAAAGGTTCCGTCTAGGTGGCCGCATCTACATTTTTTAACATTGTTTCAAACTAAGCATGAACATTCCGGATTCATGTAAAATTTTGACAAAATTTTACATTGGCTATCTACCTAACACAACCCACCCCTTTTACATGGACAGGTTAAGGAAAAGTTTAAGGTCATCACCCTTCTTAGACCAAAAAGGGATAAAATTCAAAATGAATACATTTGAAATAAACACATTCGGAGGAATTTAGATGTGACACCAATATGCGATAAAATGAGAGAAAGTAGACTTTAGATGAGCAAGCCATATGTGACGCAGACCAATACAACACCTGTTAGGAGGTGCAAGTTAGTTCCAATGGAAGACCCAAAACGACATGGTTAGAAGTAGTGAGAAAAGACATGGAGACTTATGGCTTTTAATAGAGTAGAACGGCGAACCAGGATTCGCGTAACCAACCCCAATGATGAAAAGATTTGAGAAAAGGTTTTGACAATGATGATGTTTCGAACCAAGTACACTTACAAACTTTTTCCAAGGTTAAACGATGGGTTCGGAACTTTAAGTCCCGAACCCACCATTTCACCAAAAAAATTTGTTGAGTGTGTTGGGTTCCAAACTCCAGTCTTTAGATGCAGCACATATTTTTCTTTTAGTGAAATTCGGTTCTAGAAGTTCAAGTTTTGAACCTAGGTTTCACTCAAAAAATGGGTTCGGAACTTGAACTTCTGAACTAGTTTTCCACCTAAGAAGTTACATAAAAAAAATTTAGTTTGGTTCACAACTTTAAGTTCCGAACTTAGTTTGGGAAAAATAAAAAACTGCAATAAATTGGGACTTCAAGGTAGAACATAAAAAAAGGGGTTCTATTTTTAAACAAGCACTATAAAACAAGGGATTCCATTTTTAAACAACAACCACGTATGGGGACTTTTCCATAACTTTCCCTCTTTTTAAATTTTTGTCTTCCTTGATTGATTTTCCCTAGCAAATAAGAAGGTATTCTTACTTCTTATCAGAAGGCATTCACATGCATAAACATTATCATCATCATCAAAGCCTTTTCTCAACTATTTGGGGTCGACTACATGAATCCTGGTCTGCCATTCTGCTCTATCAAGGGTCATACCCTCAGGAGACCATAAGTCGTCATATCTTTTCGCACTTCTTCTAACCATGTCCTTTTGGGCATAAGTATCTCCTAGACCAACATGCATAAATATTATCTCTAGATAAATATCCAACAACTTACCAGTCTCATCCATCAATATACCAGATAACACCACCAAAAGATCATAAATCTGGTCTTTGTTTTGAACATCTAGAGTAAGCATGGACAAACCATCCAACAAGGGAGGTACGATCTGAAATAAGCATGGAGAAATGCAAGATCAGCACATTGAATATATGATTTGAAAAGGCTGAAAATGTTAAGAGAACCAAAAATGAAATTAAAGATATTAGAAACAAGGTGAAGGTAACAGTGTAAGTCCCACCTTAGGTGCTTCAATAAGAATCGCAGCAAGTGGAGTGCCAATAATAATATGCCCAAAAGTGCGAAACAGCATTGATCTGAAATTAAATTAAATATTAATGCGTAAATTCAAAACCGATAAAAAAAAATCAATGAAATAATGCAACAAACAAAATGTTATAAAATATACACAGCATGTGTGTTTTGTCTACATTTAGACAAAGAGGAAGAGAAAAAAGGAGAAAGAGGGGGGAGGGGGGGGGGGGGGGTTTACTTAAATAAACATCTGGAGCAACACAAAAATTAACATAGGCAATAAAATATCAGGAAATGAAAGTAACAGTTGGTAAAAAGGAATCTTCCACTTCAAAGAAGCAATTTTTCAGTGAATTTTAACGGTTCAACACATAGAACGAATATTTCTAAATTGAATCCAAATCAGGTATTGTGTCAATACTATACACAAGAACTCAAACACACACAAATGCACATACACAAGAAACACTTTTATTGTTAATATGCTTTGGTTTTTGGTGAATAAGATACAAATCATCATTTCAAAGCATCATCAGAAAATCACTTATCTTGTAAAAAGAAATGCAAGATAGTGGAATTTATAAATATGAAAATTGCCGAATAACTTAATTTGTATAACAAATAGATTACTGACCAAAAGGAGCAAAAAAACACCATCATGAATAGATGCCAAGGTTTTAAAAAGCGCTAGGTGGCATCTTGCAGCCAGGCAGGCAATCCACCTAGGCACGAAGCGGGCCACCTAAGCAAGTGCCTCGGTTTTGAGATGCCCCAGCCTTATATAGAGGTATAGATATGTGTATATGAAATACATATACCTTACATATAAGTATAAACAATCAATTGAACATTAACAGTTTGAATGATAGGAAAAATCCAAAGTTTAGAAGAGGTAAATGTTGAATCACCCAAAATCTCCCCTTGTAAACTTACTGATATTTCAAAAAGCATAAAATTAAAAAAAAGTTGGTTGTGATATGATTTCTCAAAGCTTTCAGCTTTCTCAACTTTTTAAAAAGTTTAAAAAATATTTTTAATGTATTTCAACAAAAAGTATTTATAGAGCAGGAGGGGAGGTTGCACTGCATGACCCCAACCCCCACCCACCCTCCTCCTCCTTAATTTGGGGGGAAAAAACGAAAATTCCATGGCCTAAGGGCATTTTCTGCCCTCAAGAGATGGGCAGCCCAAGGTGCGCACCTCGGCTGAGGTTCTAGGTATCACCTAGGGCACCTAGGATTGCCCAGCCAAGGGAGGCCTGCCTCGTCCAGGAAAGGCACCTAGGCACCCAAGCAGGGGCTTTTAAAAAAATTGCCAGATGCATCTCAAGTGTCATATTTATAGATAATCCAAATAAAACAGGAGGGGAAAAAAAAATGTAATGACTATTACGAACGAGGGCTCATGGACATACTTGGTGATGGATGAGTGAGATTCTTTGATAGATGAAAGCAAAATGGGCATTACAGTTGAGCAGAAACGTTGTTTATAAAGTGGCCGTATGGTTGCATGAAATTTTTGGTTTACAGAAGTTTCTGAATCACTCATAATAATATGAAACGCATCTGCTGCAGATCTTGCAACAGCAATGTTGATACTCTCTCCACCATCATTACCCAATACATCATGTTGGGATGGCATGGACCTCATTCCACCAGTTGGGAGTACGCAACTCAAGAGAAGCAATGTTATGTCCTTAACTTTCTCATGCCCTCGCATAACCAATCCTTTCCCTATCCATGCCAAACCAAATAAAGCGTGAACCCGACTGTCATTGCTGATGGGCAAATGGCTAACAATTTCTTTATTGTTATCCACATCTTCATGTTTCTTCTGATTAACATTAAAAATAATGGGACGAAACCCCCTTTCAACCATAATGTCCATAGCTTCACCCAGAGTACAAGCACCAGACACCTCATTGCTTTTTACAGGCCATTTGTTAACAATAGATCCCAAGGCTTGAGCTGAGGCTTCATCTCCTTTCAGAAGGACTACAATCATAAACAGCTCTAATATTATCCTCAGATCAGGAATAACTGTCTGTGGTTGAAGTGCTATAACTACTGAAGCAAAAAGCGATATTAACCATCCATCTTTACAAGCACTAGAAACTGATTCTGGAGTAATTTTTAGCTTCTCCAACTGGACAGAGGTAGAGAGTGACATAGAATCTTTAACGAGGTACAACGTGCTTGATGCAAGTATGTTATGAGCCTTCGATACAATTGAACTTTGTTGGTTCATTGTACAACACCCAACAGCTAACTTCATTGCCATCATGGTTGCTTCTAAAAGGCTCTACAATCAGTAACATAAATGCATTGTTACTACAACCATAATAGATATGCAGCTTAAAGGTGCTTGAGATCAGAACTACAGACAATAACTAGATTTAAGGTAAACAAAATTTTGCGGAAAGGGAAGATATTTAGTAGGAATTTCCACTGTCATGAACATAGTATACCTTCCCATGACTTCCAATACAGAAACTGATGCTTTCCATATAGGACCAAATGTCAGTAGCAAGATGCATTGCATCTTCCTCAAATCCTTCCTTGTTCTGCAACCTGCAGATGTTGAGCGTAGTAGTTTGCTATCAGAATAAAAAGATGGTTACAATCAAAGATGAAGCATCAAGTAACCCAGATATCTTCTTCATTTCTGGACATGTACCATAGAAACACTTCATATGGTCTTGGTCATAACCAAAATGGAAGTCATTTAATCATTAGGGACACAAAGCTAATTAAAACTAATCTTCCGCAACTTTACAAATAAGCAACAGTGCCCATCATGCATTAAGAGATGACTCGTCGAAAAAAAAAATTACTAAGGGGCATTACAAGCATCAATGATCGTGACGATGACGACAGCTTATTATATCAGCAACACAAGTCCTAAGATTTAAAGCTAAAGTATTTCTAAATTTCTTTTGTAATTAACTTATCATTTAAAAACAACCAGGATAAGTCCAGTAGAATACAAGATCTACAATGTGTACACTGGTAGGGAAACAGAATGAAGTTCCCATATGTGTACACTGGTAGGGAAACAGAATAGAGTACCCAATCCTTACGCTAATCCGCATCAAGTAACCCTGTAACAAAAGAGTCAGTCCACATTCAGCATCCTAGTAAATGGTTGAAAGAAGAAATCCAACTAGTGGATTGCTTCTCCATTTTCTCTCTTCTTTCGGATATAATAACATTCATCTGATCACATTCAACTATGAGCAATCCTCATAAGAGCTCAGAGAACTCACATTATCCATTCAAAAGGGCCTTCAGTTCCACCAAAGGGGAATCACAATTGCCGAGAAGACAAGCAAAATCTTTTTAAAATATACCTTCATACCAAATGAAACACCCCATTCCAGAAAAACCTAGGGAGACATCCAAATGGGCTTTCAATACCCCATGGATCGATTGCATCAATGCGCCTAGGGTTCTACGGAGCTCCCTAAGCGCAACCATGTTCAAACCCTAATCCATTGCTCTTCCCTGACCACTGCCAACGAGATGTTACACAATTCTTCCCTAATATGAGTGGGTTATTGACGGATCCCTTAAAACTAAAGATCTTTGGTCCATTTCCTTCACAGTACCAAGAAAAAAATGCTAATACCTTACAAAGGATGCTAGCTCTTTCTAGGTATGAGCCAAATGAACATCCAGCCAACGAAGCAGTATTGTATCTGACATTATTCATGAGAACCGAATACCTCAGGGCGAAGTCCAGATCCTCCTTGGATACCCATAGTGGAACACTGGATGGTTCACAATTTCCTCCATGTTACTGCATAGTATAGAATAGCTCATGAAAAAGATTTCCTTGAGAATTTTGTCTTTGGTGTCCGATCACCCCAACGAAAGCACCTTTGGAGGGGATGAAACCCCTCCAACCTAGACACCCCAGGAACCTTTAAAGATGCTTCCCTAAAGAGTGTTCATGAACAACCTAGCATTAGTCATTTCATCAATCTCTGTTGCATAATTTCTCATATTAAATACTATAGAAGTGTTGAAAACCTCTCGAAATAAATTTCCAAAATATTTCCATCCTACCAGTTTAAGGCAAAACATGAATTACAGATCTACTAACTTAACAACCCTCAACCACAACATCCATTATATTCTAAATGAACAACGACCGATCTATATAATTCATGTGGAACCCGCTCCTTTCTTCCTTTAAGTCACTAGAAAGATCCCCCATTGCCCTCCACTTATTGTTCCAATTTATGTCATGGAACTAGCTTAATTTTTTTTTATACTGTTTGTCTTTATAATCCATTGATTGTGCCAAGTTGATTGATTCAAATCTTGGGCCTCTAGACCAAAAAGTGCCCAATGGATCCCTAAATTTAAAGAAACTATGCCAAATTTTGACAGTTGTTTCGATATTAATGCTATCTAGGAATTTAACCAGAGCAAAGAGAGAAGATTGGGCTCCTATAGAAGCAAAAAACAATAAATTCCAAAATCCAAATATAATGTTTTCCTAAATTCCTTTATTCTAGGAAGATTTCATAGATAGACCAGCTATTTAGCAATAAGCTTAACCACAGTTACCAGGGTTGCCCAACTTGGTGGCAATCGCACATTCCTGGAGCAGGATCTTAAGTCAAACCTGCTCCCATTTTGGGGGAACATGATCCGAATTCCCGAGGGATTAATCAATATAATTCACACCCATATTACATATATCTTTTATAGGGAAACAAGTCTGACATGCATATCAATAAAAACATAAAGTAATTACATCGCAAAATCATGATTGTAGATTTCCCAAAGGGAAAATAAATGCTTTAATCCATATCTACAGAAAGAGAAAGATTTAAATGCGTGTTAATCAAAAAAGAAATAAATATTGACCAAAATCCGTGTGCTGTATATTCTTTTAAGCGGAAATATGCTTTAGCATGGATCAATTGAAAAAACAAAATAAAGTCCTACACACAATGACTTCATAATTGCATAAAAGAAGGAATGATGGATCCAATTTAGCAACTTTGCACAAAAATTAACAATATATATTGATCAAACAAATTTGGTAAATTATCAAGAAAGATTTTTATATGGTAAAATTTGAGTACATAAACATGAGTTCTAAAATTTACATGAGAACATATATTTGTAAGTGAAATACCTATATTCCTGGTATGTCTATGGTATCTAAACCTAATTATAAAAAAAGTGTAACTTTCTAATTTCCATATTTTAAGATCACTCCAATGATGATACTAAACTAGTTCTTGTTACTGGCAATGTCTTGCTCCCGCTTCTGATCCTGCTTCCCACAACTATGCACTTAACATATCCAATATGCAGTTTCTGGTTACCTACCTGAGAGATGTTTACTGATCATAATTCTTCACCTTAATATCAATAATTACAGTCATGATCCATCCAGATCTGTTGCATATCAAATGAAAAATTGCAGCTCGGAACAGTTTCAAACAAAAAGCAAAACTCTATTATAGAGATAGGACATATCAACAATGCTAAGGAGAAAAAAGATCTACCAATGGAGGATACAGTGAAAAAAAATCACATGTATCAAAAAATGAGCTAGGTAGTAAATCCTTAATGTCATGTTTTACCCTATCCTTCAGAAGGATAACATTCACACCAAGAAGAAAATGTTTTCTGCTTTAACAATAGTAAGAACTGGGAGATTTCTGCAGCAAAGCACGCACTACGTATCTAATTTAGAACATATCAATACCAGGGGAGTAAATATAAAGAATAGCACTTCAGAATCTCAATTGCCATCTCAGCAGATTTCGTATTTCCTTCAGCCTGTTCAACAAAACACATAGGTGACTTGGTGTAACTAAGTGGTGAAGAAACAATTGGATGCATAAGTGAAAAGATTTTCATTAAAAAAAATAGGTAAACTTTAAATGAACATGCAACCACGCTCTCCATTCTCCCCTTCCCTTCTCTATATTTGTCTGTGTGCATGTACATCATGAAAGTGTGCCACATGATGGAACCTCAACCATCCTTTGTCAACAAAGGAGGATTGAGATGACCATTCAGTCATCAAGTAGACATTGGTAGACATGAGTGGAGGAGCAACTCATCTGAAATGTCAATTGTTGATGGGAGTTGGTTGAGTCCACATGTAGCACAATCTTTGTACGTTATAAGGCAGAACTTACATTAGCCTAATCCCTCAGTTTGCCACCCCTTGTTTCGAATTTTTTGAGGATATTTCTAAAAACTCTAGATAACCAAATCCAAAAAAATGAAGACAAAAAAAAGGACTGATTTTGGGCACATCTAACTGCAGATCTAACAGTGATCCAAATAGAAAGCTAAAGTGCTAAACGTGCCCCAATTTCTCTCTCTTCAATAAACCATTTTTTATGTTTTGCCCCACCCCCCCAGTCTTTTTCATGGGGACATTTGCTAGGCTCAAGGAGAGCCCAAAAAAATTAAACCTAACATCAACTAATTTGGGGTTATGAACTTGTACAATATATATAGGAAAACCCTACAGTGTTTTCACCCCGCAACAACTCTTGTGGAGCCTTTGTGGTTTTGCCTAAAAAGTCGCAACGGCTCTTGTAAAGCCATTACAGTTTCCCGTGTTTTTCACGTGAAAAATGGACCGCACCTGCTCTACTATGTCCATTGCGGTACCGCAACGGACATAGTAGAGCCGGTGCGGTCGTTTATCCACACCGTCCGATTTAATCGGACGGCGCCGAGCCTATAGACGAAAGCATTGTTCATTTTCGGCCATAGGCATTGTGTAGTGGCTTTCGTATATATATATATATCTTAAGACGGGAATTAGTATGCGATACGTACAACAGCCTCCAAGAAATTGGTAGACAAAGCCTCTCCAAACCCTTTTGTCACTCGCTTCATAAAACACAGCCCCATCATAGCAATCTCAGATATTGCCTTCAAATTCAGAGAGAGTGGAGGAAAGGTTGAACGATTGAAGAGATATGAAAGAAGCTTTTCAATGACAATTGTCATAAAACACACCCCCCTTTGAGAATCATGATACCTCTCAATGGACATGCCAACTTGCACCAAGGCCTTTAATGTTGATGTCCACAAAGATGTCTCTTCATACCTCTCAGTAATGACAGACATAAACACTGCCAAGATATTTTCAAATGCATCTCTTGATAGAGGCGAGTAAGAGTCCGGAAACGTTGCCAAAATTTGCAAGCCTGTCACTGCACACCATTTTCCAAGGAGAAGTGTCAAAATGCAGATATCATTTCGATATGAGATTGAGTCACTGAAAGAGTTTAGTGAATCTCTTTTTTGATAATATAAATGGATTTAAATTGCCAAAAAAACAAACGAAAAAGTTAGAATAAACATAGAACAAGCACAAGTTAGATGCCACAAAGAACACCATTGCTTTTAATATATGGGATCATATACCATGAGACCATTTACCTTTGTTACAAGGAGATCACAATTACTCCTAGCCATTAGATGTCAAATTGGATGGCTTGGGGTGCGCCACGAAGTTCGAGAAAATCTTTTTTGAATTTTGAGTCTAGTCAAGGACACTCTTACAACTACCCGATTTGAAATATGACAGACAAGAGTCATTGTGACCTCCTTGTAAAAAAAAGTATATGGTTGGTATACTTTTTCCTAATATATCTCTTCAATGGTTGAGAATGCAACAAATATGAGGACCTCAAATTTTTCAATTCAAGATGTAATGAGACATAGAAGAATTGAAATCATCATGTCATGACAGTAAAGATTAAAAATGCCAAAAAAATATAGGTCTACGAAATTTCTTTTAATTTGGTGTATGAAACATAAAAACAGAAGAATTGAAATCACCATGTCATGACAGAAAAAGTTAAGAATGCCAAAAACTATAGGTCTACGAAATTTCATTTCATTTGGTGTATGAAACATAAAAACCACATGAGACGAAAACGTTCAGGTATATTCTTGTCATGCTTGAAAAGCATGTAATAGGCAAATGCGACAACCCCCCCCCCCCCCCGGCCCCCCCAAAAAATGCCACCCCAATCAATAAAAAAAGGCACAAAGCATCCACCATAAAACACAAAAGAATTAAAAATACATAATTCTTTTGAACATATGGATCAAAACTCAACGGGTTGGCATGAGAACAGAAGCACAAGATTTGAAATAGCATAGCACATGCATTAGAAATTGAAAACACAAAAGAGCTACTGAAATAGAACCACTCATAATGCACATTAAAGGAGGAACAATCAAGTCTTAGAAAAAACACTAATGCATCAAAAAATGCAAAACAATTATATGAATCATGATATAATATATTTCCACCATATCATACTGGACTTAGGGAAAAAAATGAAAAAAATCTATACCGCTAATACCATTTATTATCAAGTGCCCACTATCAATATGAAACAAACCTTTTAGTGGAAGGTCTTCCTCTCCAATGGATGGGCTCATCTCTCTAATGGAACTGCTTTTATTTGCTACAACAGAAGATCCGAGAGCGAAAACTAAGCATCCAGAAAAGGATTGGAGCAATAGGAGCCAGGGATCTTGGGTTGGAGTTGGACAAACCTCTTGAGAAGATAAAGCATTAGCCAAATGATTGCTCGCTGCGATCAATTCAAGACAGATATGAAGGGCTTCAAAATCCAATTCAACACAAACATAACTGTTTCTATTTGAAGCCCAATCAAAAGGGGAGTCTAAGGAAGAAATTCTAAGGAAATTCATCAACCGTTGAAAGAAACTTCCGAAAACTCTGTTACAACAAGCACTTGAAACTTTTGCTGAAGTAAATAGTATATTTCGAAGTGCACAAAATCTCTGCTTTCTCTCATGGGGAAGATCTTTGTTGCATTTTTCACTTGTAATAGACCTGAAAGTCATCTCAAGGTCTTCATCTTCAACAATCAGTCTCAAAAATGTTTCATCCTTTGGAATGTCGAATACCAGGACACAATTTTCCAAACAAACTAGAGCTTCCTTTACAACTTCATTCTCCTGAGATCCCAAATTGTCTGGCAATTCACAAATTATGGAAATCGATGGTCCATGTGATGATAGATTAAAAATCACATCTTTCAAAGCAGACCAGATAGCATAAGCATGACTTGCCATCCTGCTTGGCCCATATCGAGGAGCACAATGGCTGAGGTACTTCAGAGCATCAAGCTGTAAGCATTGAGCATAGTAAAAATATGCACCAAATTAAATTAATAGGAACTAAGATATTTTAGGACAGATATTGCAGCTAAAGAAACAGAGAAAGGAAACAATGACATATCTGCAAGAAGCATCTAACAAACCTAACCTTGGCCATCTCCAGGGAGGAGGAAAGCTTCTCAAGCAGCAAAGGGATGCAAAATGGCTCAAATAAAGGAGATGACGAAAAAGCATTCTGCAAAAACAGAAATCTGAATCGAGATCAAATGCAGTAGCGGATTAATATGAATAGCCAGCAGCAATATGAGTCTGATCCTGTGATGACCCTAAATTTTTGGAACTAAAAGAAAAATAATAATAATAAAGTAAAACAATAATAATAATAATAATAATAATAATAATAATAATAATAATAATAATAATAATAATAATAATAATGATAATAGTAATGATAATTAAAATATAAAATACTTATATAATTGTGAGTGATAGTTCATTAAGCTAAGAATGCACCATGGGACCATTTTTTTTAAACTTTTCATTCCACAATTGTTTACATTAAAAAGATTAGTTAATTGAGATAATTAAGTATAACATGATTTGAACACTCATGTAGCACTCATAAGCATGAGCTGGCATTATAAGGTAATAATGTGTCATGAGGTGGCATTATAAGGAAATAATGTGTCATGAGGTGGCATTATAAGGTAATAATGTGTCAAGAGATGGCATTAGAAGGTAATAATGTGTTACGAGGTGGCATTATAAAATGATTGTGTCATGAGGTGGCACATATAAGTGAGTTAAAAAAAAAAAACAATGGGAGACATAATTTAACATGTGTCAAATGGAGGATTGTCCTCCATCACTTTTAAAAACCCTTCTCCCCTCATGGGCTCATTATTAGCCCATCATGTTGGCTTTTCTCTCTCTTCCCATATGTAAGTTCTCCTTCTCTCTCTCTCATAACGGTTTTTTTCTCTCTCTTCATGCTCTCTTTCTCATAATAATCTCATTATAATAAAAATTATTCTCTTTCTCTCATAATATTCCTTTCTTATAAGAAGCTCCTAAAAGGTTCTTCTCTCTCTCATAATGTTCTCATTATGATAAAAATAATTCTCTTTTCTTATATATAATTATTTTTTCTCTCTCTTGTAATACATCCATTTTTTTATGCTCCCTCTCCCCATATAAACTCATTTGGTCTCGTCCCATACCTTTAGCTAAACGCCATTGATCTCGGTTTTACTCTGACAACGATAGCAACACATCCATCTCAAAGTGGCGTAAAAGTTTTAAGAGTAAGTGACCTTATTTTCCTGTAAAATAGTTATTTGAAAACTGGTAGTTCTGCATTTAATTGTAATATTTACGTCTATCATTATAAATTTTAGATACCGTAAGTTTTATGTGTAAGTGACATTATTTTCCTGTAAAATAGTTATTTGAAAACTGGTATTTCGGCATTTAATTGTTATATTTCCATCTATCATTAAGAATTTTAGATACTGTAAGTTTTATGTGTAAGTGACCTTATTTTCCTGTAAAATAGTTATTTGAAAACTGTTATTTCTACATTTAATTGTAATATTTCCGTCTATTATTATGAATTTTAGATACTGTAAGTTTTATGTGTAAGTGACATTGTTTTCCTGTAAAATTGTTATTTGAAAACTAGTATTTGTACATTTAATTATAATATTTCCGCCTACCATTATGAATTTAGATACTGTAAGTTTTATGTGTAAGTGACCTTATTTTCCTGTAAAATAGTTAATTGAAAACTGGTATTTCCATAGTTAATAAAATTGTAATATTTTCGTCTATTATTAAAGATTTTAAATAGTTGAAAATTTAGTATTCAACTCTGAATTTTCATAAGAATTCTTCTACCGCCAATAGACTGTTTATTGTGTTAGATTCAATTTTTAAGAATGTCTCTCATAACTGCTACCTTTCTGAAACTATATCTAAGAAATTGAGCACAAAATGTTTGACTAGTTATTTATAGAAATATTAGTGAAAATGTTTGTTATATTGCTTCATGTGAAGATTTCAAAGATATTTTGAATATACGATATTGTTGTTTCCTGATGTTTAGTGATAAAAATTTTAGAGATACTTTAAGTATACAAGTGAACCAACCCGATATGCCAGTAGGGAATAAGTTGACTCATCTGGTACTCCGGTGAGGTATAGTGGACATATCCGGTACAGCTGTAGGGATTAAGTAGACCTATTCAATACGCTGATAGGGACTAAGGGTTAAGTGGACTCATCTGGTACGCCGGTGAGATATAAATGGACCTACCCGATATGTCGATAGGGATTATGTGGGTTCATCTGGTATGCCGATGAGATATGAGTAAACCTACCTGGTATGCCGGTAGCGATTATGTGAAATCTTTTGATTTATGAGAAATTTTCAATATGCATTCTTTTAGAAAATATATACATTTTCTAACCATGATTTTTAATGATTATGATGGTCACTTCCTGAGTAGCCAAACTCATCAAACTATTGTGAATTCTTTTCAGAGTAATTGTAGCCTTATTGTTCGTATGTACAGCAGGAGTAGCTTGGAAGAAGTTTGTAGTCATGGTTAAATTCGCCTTTGTAACTTTTGTTCTATCAAAATTGTATACATATAGACCTTTATGTTAATATAAGTTATGATTAGACTTTGTACAAGTTAGAAAATTTCTTAATGGAAAAAAATCAGTTTTGATGCAATATATAGTAGAAATTCTAAATTTGTTCCATTTATACTTTAAGAATAGACTATCACACCTCAAGAATGTTAGTATCATAAAAGTTGGGGTGTGACAAGTTTTGGTATCAGAGCAATAGGTTTAGGATTCCTAGGAAATCTGAATAGGAATATACTCTAAGGGGCCATTTGGGTACTTGAATATCTATTACAGGAAAACATATTACAAGGAAATATGAGATTTACCATGTTTGGGTACATTTCAACCGTAAGAAAATGGAAGTAAATAACACAAGATTTCTCCAAAATACGTGAAATCTATTATGACCGTAAGAAAATGGAAATAAATTACACAAGATTTCCAAAAAATACGTGAAATCTATTGCGGGCAGAATCGCTACGACAACATATTTCACAGACAATATATTTCACAGACCAAATGACCCCTAAGTCATACTTATTGTATGAACAGACAATTACGATGTCAGGATCCCATAAGACTGGAGCTAACATGGAGGGAATTCATAAAGCTTTGGAAAATATGGTTGCTCTTATGCAGCATCAGATGGAAACAATAACCCACCTAGGCAGTCAGTTATGGAAAATAATGGATGTAATATCGAACAATTTAAAAAATTAAATCCACCTTCCTTTAAGGGTATTTCAGATCCACTAGAAGCCGAGGGATGGATTATGCAATTGGAGAAAATATTTGAAGTAATAGAATGTCCTGATGATAAGAAGATCACCTTAGGAATTTTCATGTTGGAAGGTGAAGCAGAACATTGGTGGTGGATGGCAAAAAGAGTACTGGTCCTAGAAAACAAACCTTTGAATTGGGAAGCATTTCGAGAAACATTCAATGAAAAGTACTTCCCAGATTTTATTCGAGATTAAAAAAAAAAAAAATAGAATTTCTAGAATTAGTCCAAGGGAACAAGAGAGTAACACAGTATGAGGCCAAATTTACTGAATTAGCCAGGTTTACCCCACATATGGTCGGTCGCAAATGAGGTAAGAAAGGTGAATAAATTCGAAAAAGGCCTCAGACCAACCATCAAAGGCAGAATACCAGCCCTAAAATTAAGAACTCTCCCAAATTGTTGAGAAAGACTGCGAAGATTTCCAAAAGAGAAAAAACCAGAAAAGTCAAGTTAGACCCACACCATCTAATTGGCGACAAGGAAAAGAATCAAAAAGAGCAAACAAATAGCCAAGGCTAGCATCATTTCAAAGTCTGCCAGACTTTGTAAGAAATGTGGGAAGAGGCATGGATTAACACCCTGTTATTGGGAGATTGGAGCCTGCTTCAAATGTGGGAAACTAAGGCACAAGATCAAAGATTGTCCTGTTATGCAAGTGCAGCAACATTCGAAGCATGGTGAGGCAGGCTCAAAAACCTCAAATGAAAAGAAGAGTATTTGCAATCACCCAGTAAGATGCCCAAGCTTCGAAATCGGTAATTCAAGGTACTCTTACTATCTTTCAAGATATAGTTTATGTTTTGATTGATCCTGGATCTACTTATTCATTTGTGTCACCACACTTTATATGCCACTTAAAAGTAGAACCAAAACAATTGAAATACATTTTAGCAGTAGCCACAGCTATGGGAAATTTACTTGATATCAATCTAGCATAGGAATCTTGCGTAATAATGATAGAAGAAAAGGAACTGCTGGTGGATTTAATACTTTTAGAAATTCAAGATTTTGATGTAATCTTAGGCATGGATTGGCTCTCTGCCTACCATGCAAGTGTTGATTGTTACAAGAAAATAGTTACCTTTTGCATTCCGAATCAACCGGTATTTTACCTGGAAGGTGTCAAGGAAGCCTTCCCACCATATTTAATCACCTCCATTCGGGCTAACCACCTCCTTCGAAAGGTATGTCAAAGCTTCTTGCCTATGTTAAAGAGGATAGAAAAGAAAAGATGAACTTGGACGACATTCCGGTTGTTCGGGAATTTCCTGATGTGATTCCTTAAGGGCCCGTTTGGATACAAAGAAATTAAGAATCTTAGATATTTGAAATCCAAGGAAATCTATGGATTTTCAATATCAAGGATTTTTGTCATGGATTTATCAAATCTCTTGTTTGGATAAACTATACAAAATTCATGAATTCCTTGCAATCACTTCCATGTCCATTGTTTGGTAATAAAACTTGATATAATTTCTCTCTCTAAAAATTTTATATACTCTCTCTCTAAAACTCAAAATTTGGGATAGTGTATCTATAGAAAATTTGAGATAGTTTCTCTCTCTAAAATTTTGAAATAGTTTCTCTCTTTAAAATTTGATTAGTGTCTCTCTAAAAATTGATATACTTTCACTCTCTAAAGTTTAAAATTTTAGATATTCTCTCTCTCTAAAACTTATATTTTGAGATAGTTTCTCTCTAAAAATTTTGAGATAGTTTCTCTTTAAAAATTTCTCTATCTAAAATTTGATATAGTATAGCTCTCCAAAATTTTAAAATACTTTCTCTCTAAAACATAAATTTTGCGATAGTTTCTC